TTTTATTTTTATTATATATATATATATATATATATATATATATATTTATACTATGGAATTTTATAAGAGATATCCTTTGTTTTTCTTAAAATTATTGTACCTTTATTTTTTCTTTCATCTCTCTCTTTCTCTCTCTTTTTAAAAAAGATACTTGTTCTCAACTAATGGAATAACTAACCTATTTTATCATTAATTAGTTATGCTTAAAAAAAATCTTTAATTTTTACTTTTTATTCCACCGTAATACTATTATATAGGATTTAGGGTTTATCATCATTTTTCTTCCAAAAAAAAATCTAAATCCTAAATCATAAATCCTAAGTCCTAAATTTTCAAATTATATATATATATATATAAATATTATTTTATCATCATTTTTCACCGAAAATTCTTTTAAAAAAATATAGAAACACTTCTCCGGCTAGTATTTGTAAAAAAAAAATAGTTTTAATATTTTTTTCTTAATAGTAATCCTTTGTCCTCCCTTTATATATATTTTTATACAAATTAAAATAACCATATTATCTTATTAAAAAAATATATTTTACAAAAAAAAAAAACTTCTTTCATTCTTTAACTTCTTTCAATTTATAAATATATATGATTTTATATCACTCTATAAATATTAAAATTTAAATATTTTTAAGCTTTATAAATGTTACTTTTTTCACTCTCACATTTATTCTAATTTAAATATTTTTTCTCCCAAGATGCAAGCGTGTTTTTTAATATATATATTTTTTACATTAAATGAATGGTGTATATTATCCAAAGATATAATAACTAAATATTAGAATGAAATGTTTATTTTGTCTTTAAAATTTAAATATTATCTCTCTACATTTTCTTTTATATCTACTTCAATATTTTTTTAATTTCTCATATCTTAAAATATATCATTTTCATATTTATTTAAACTTTTAATCTTTTATCATTTTATTATATTTATTTTAATTTTAAAAAAAATATGAAAATTTAAAAATAAATTTGTATCACAATATAAATATTATAAATAACAAATATAATTTATATATTTAATTTTTTTATATCAAATTTGAATCTTCTTTATATAAATCATTATTATTATTATTATTACATATTTTTCATTTCAAATGAATGACCTGTTATGTAATTGAATATCATAATGAAACTTATAATTTATTTTTAAAATTCAAATATTTTTCCTTTGTATAATTTTTGTATCTACTTTAATATCTTTTTAAAATTTATTATCTCTTTAAATATATAATTTTTATATTTATTTCAAAAAAGATTATAAGTTGTATTTGGATAATAAACCACTCACAAATCAATTCAACTACATTTTTGTGGATTAAGTTGGTAATAATTGAGTTGAATAATAGATGAAGGGGTTTGTTATTGATAAACTCAAATCAACCCAACATATAATAAATTATTAAATTAAATTAAAAATCTACACATAATACACTACATTACATATATTTAATTTACTTTTTTTAATCAAATATTGTAGTTATGAGTTGATTTTCTGAATTGAAAAAGACATAGAACAATGAGAATATTCTAATTCCACTTACGTAATTCAAAATTTGTTAGTTTAGTGTTATTTGAAATATTTATTACTTAATTCAAAAGAAAGGTATGTAATTCAAAATTTAAGTATCTTTCTTTTCTTTTCTTTTTCCTGCGTTTTATTTTTTTAATTCTTAAAATATATTTATTTTTTAATTACTCAAATCAATGATTCAATTTGAATTAACCTGATTATGATCGGGTTGAATTGATTTTTTAAAAATTCATAAATTTATTCTATCCAATTAAGTTTAATTAGATTGAGTATCGAAATAGTTATGACTTATTACATCCTATTATTTTTTATTTCGTATATTTTATGATGTATCATTTTCTTATATTTATTTTAATATTTTTTTTAGAAAGTTATTAATAATTAAAATAATTTTGTACTATAATATAAAATATTTATTATAAATAAAAATATAATTTATGTATTAATTTATTTTAATTATAATATATAATAAAAATATTTATTTATTATAAATTTTTGCTATATTGGATCATTGAAAATGCTAGTATCGTAGATTTATACCAAGTGTATAGCAAAGTGATGTACTAGGTTTTTTTTTTTAATATATATATATTTTTTAATTTTAATTTTGCAAAGAAAGACACGAAGGAGTAAGATAGGGCAGTTGTTGGTGGCACATATAAATTGCTCAAAACCAAACCTTTCTTTCTCTTCTGCACTTCAGAGTCGGCTTCTTCGTTCCGCGATTCCTCCCTCCTTTTTTCGTGGTAAAGTTTTCATCTTTTTTCTTCTTCTTCTTCTTCTTATTCCCTCACTCTCATCATTTTCTGCATCTTCCATGCCTTGATTTCTTATGGAATCACGAATCACGATCTGTTTTCATTCCATCTTTTCTGGCTTTGCGGGTAAAACTATAACCTTTTTCTTTGTTTATTCGAAACCCTTTTGGGTTTTAGCTAGAAAGAGCGACCCTTTCGTTTGTTCATCCCGGGGTTCTTCTGTTGCTTGATTTTTTCCTTGTGATGTTATTGATTTGCTGTACTTTTCAACCTTGTTTTGTTTTTTCGTTTATAACTAGTTGTTCTCCCTTCTTTCATCTTGATTGAAATTTGTTAGTTTCGGTGTTGGCATCCAGGTAAATGAAATAAAATTTATTATACCCTCTGATTTTTTTTTGTGCTTTTTTTTCATGCCTTTATTTTTTTTGGATTTTCATTCTCATGCTTTCGGAGAAAAAATGCACAACTATATGGCCATGGTTACACTGTGATTTTTCTTGTTAATTGAGTCGTAGGTTCGGAAAGCTTTTTGATTAACTATTGATGAACTGGATATGTTATTTTCTTTAATTTTTCTATACAATGAATGGGGTGATTTTATTATTTTCGTGAAGGTGGGGAGGGGGAATAATGGGCAGTGCTATGTATTCCTGGGTATATAAAGACAAGCAGTGTCTTAACTGTTTTTGTCCTGAGTTTGAGAGTTGAATTAATTTTGCCAATATTGCATTAATAATTTCGTATACATGTAAAGCTGAATCGACACATACTTTTGGGGATCAAACACAGTACTGTCCCTGAAATTACTGAAGTGTTTGCCTCCTCAATGTGTGTACTCTTTGCCTTATCCCTAAGGTGCAATAACTGGATAGCTATTGTCAGTAACCCTTTCTCATTTTAGTTGGATGATCATTTGGTTTTGGGAAAGCATTTTGATAGGAATCTGTTTCTTTCTGAGAGGCTAGTCCTTGCCTTTTTCATCTTTGCACTTTGCATGATCCAGCTCAGATTCAGAGACAGTATAAATATTTTTTTCCTCTTTGCATTGTAAGATGACTATATTTTCCACGAAAAATATTTATTGGGGTCTTTGAGGAGTGGTGGGTGTTTTGATCTACTTTGGAACAATTTTTGGGTGTTTGTTTTAAATTCTTTGGTAAATGCAGAGGCTAAATTTTATGATAGAGTGCTTGTCTTTGGTGTTCTATTAATCTGTCCTTTGCTACATCAAGGAAATTAGTTTGAAGAGTTTCTCTACCAAAAAATATTCTTTATTTTCAGCAGAGACTCTCAAAAACACTTATAAACTTGTATCCAAAAAGACTTTATATCAAATATCCATCGAGATTGGGCATCCTAGTTGTATTCTTGGCAAAAAAAAATTCTTCACTTCATTGTTTAAAAGACTATCTTGTTTGGAGAATCTCTCCTAGTCCTCCTAGTTGTAGTTCTCATCATGGTAGTTGAATCGAGATACACATAATGTATCGGAAAGCTTATTTTTTGAATCGTGAATCGAATCGTATCGTGAATCGTAAGATTCGTGATCAATAAAAACATAGTGTATATATATGCATACAAGACATATAAAAGCACTCTAAGCACATTTTAATATAAAGAAACAGACAAAATGAAGTCATACATAAATATATAGTAATATATAAGCTTCAAAATACAAACAAAGATAGAATTATACAAATAATAACAGTCTCAAAGCCAAAAGAAATGACTGTACAGTTCAACAACAAAGCCTCCAAAAAAATCATTGTTGTTGCTAAATATATACATATACAAGGGACTGTTTGCTACTCTAATCAGCAATATAGCCACCCAAAAAAAATATTAGTGTTGTTGCTGCATAAACTCAGCAACAAGTGGACCACTAACACGAAGAACAGCAACCCAAACAGCCATCCAAACGAAGCTGCGAACCTGGACGAGACAAAGGGACCACTAAAAGTGAAACCCACTAAGTGGGTCATGTACAGGAATGGGTATCGGCATTTTCTGTCTCAGTTTCGTCTTTTTTTATTTAAAAAAAATCATTTTTTTTAGGGTTTTCAGAACCGGGTCGCGCATGACCCGACCCGGTTTTGGACGCGACCCGTTTCTTCCCAGAATCGTGCGAGACCTTCCAGAATCGCGATTTTCCGATTCTAAACCCGATACAAACGATTCGAAAACGATTCAGGATCAAAAACGATACACCATGCGATTCGAATCGCTGAAGCACGGAATCGTATCGTATCGTACGATACGAATCGCGATTCCTACGATACTTACTACCATGGTTCTCATTACTCTCTAATAAAATATTTATTCTGTTAAAAATAATGATTTAGATGTATCATCTATTACAGTCAAGGTGACTGGGAGTTGTTGTCTAATTGACTTTTTCTTTGACATGCAGGTTCAAGTTAAGGAGTTAAATTTGAGGAGAGTCATTGAATTAAAGCTAAACTGTGCCTGGATTCATATTGCTTGGTTCTGAAGGCCACCATTATGGCTGTATATACAAAATTCCGTCTTATTGCTTACTCACAGGAGATTGTAGACGGACAGCCTATTTTTGTTTCTTCTAACTGTCTTCCTATCAAGGCTTTGAAATATGAACCTGCAGGTCATTCTTTCCATTCTGCTGCACTTAAACTTCTCGGTGTTCAGGAAGATAAAAATGATGCTGATGATAAGAAAGTAGCTGATGATAAGGAACAAACATATCTCCCATCTGATTCTTATAGCAGCAAGAGCAAAAAGAAATCTGGTACTGGAGACAAGCAACAAGATCATTATGCATTATTGGGTCTGGGTCATCTAAGGTATCTTGCTACAGAGGATCAAATTCGTAAAAGCTATCGGGAAACTGCCTTGAGGTTTCATCCTGATAAACAGGCTGCTCTTCTTCTTGCCGAGGAAACTGAAGCTGCAAAACAAGCAAAAAAGGATGAAATAGAAAGTCATTTTAAGGCAATTCAGGAAGCATATGAAGTGTTGATTGATCCTGTGAAGAGAAGAATTTATGATTCCACAGATGAGTTTGATGATGAGATTCCCACTGATTGTGCTCCACAAGACTTCTTCAAGGTGTTTGGTCCTGCCTTTATGAGGAATGGGCGGTGGTCGGTTAATCAACCAATTCCATCACTAGGTGATGATAACACTTCACTAAAAGATGTTGATAATTTCTACAATTTTTGGTACTCCTTTAAAAGCTGGAGGGAGTTTCCTCATGCTGACGAGTTTGATCTTGAGCAAGCTGAGTCTCGAGACCACAAGAGGTGGATGGAAAGGCAGAATGCAAAATTGACTGAAAAAGCTAGGAAGGAAGACTATGCAAGGATACGCACTCTTGTTGATAATGCTTATAAGAGAGACCCAAGAATATTGAGAAGAAAGGAAGAAGAAAAGGCCGAGAAACAAAGGAAAAAGGAGGCTAAGATCTTGGCGAAGAAGTTGCAAGAAGAAGAAGCAGCCAGAATTGCAGAAGAGGAGAGGCAACGGAAAGTGGAGGAAGAGAGACAAGCTGCTGAAGCTGCTCTACAACAGAAGAAGGTGAAAGAGAAAGAGAAAAAGCTCTTGCGAAAGGAGCGAGCACGTCTTCGGACTCTTTCAGGACCTATTTTATCACAGCATTTGCTTGATATTTCTGATGATGATGTAGAAAGGCTTTGTATGTCGCTTGATATTGAGAAGCTGAGGAGTCTGTGTGAGAACATGGAAGGCAGACAGGTGCTATTAGAGCAAGCTAAAGTTTTGAGAGATGCACTGAGTTCTAAGAAGGAGGTGGTTGATGAGAAAACTAATCAACAAAATGCTAATGGTTCCATCAAGGCTAATGGCAGTGCTTCACAAAGCAACATTGAGAAGAAGGAGAAACCTTGGAATAAAGAAGAGATTGAACTATTGAGGAAAGGAATGCAGAAGTTTCCAAAAGGAACATCGCGAAGATGGGAGGTTATTTCAGAATACATTGGTACTGGAAGATCTGTTGAAGAAATTATGAAGGCAACTAAAACTGTACTCCTCCAGAAACCTGATTCATCAAAAGCTTTTGACACTTTTCTTGAGAAAAGGAAACCTGGTGCACAATCAATTGAGTCTCCACTGACAACCAGAGAAGAATTAGAAGGGGTATCAACTCCTGCATCCTCAACCACAAATAATAATAACGTGGAAGACTCTCATAGCAAAAGTACAGATAATCAGAACTCAACAAGTGCTAATGGAGTTCCTTCTAGTTCAGAACAGGATGTGTGGTCTGCAGTGCAGGAACGAGCACTGGTTCAAGCTCTGAAAGCCTTTCCAAAGGAAACAAGCCAGAGATGGGAGCGAGTTTCAGCAGCTGTACCTGGGAAGACTGTGAATCAGTGCAAGAAAAAATTCGCAATGATGAAGGAGAGTTTCAGGAACAAGAAAACTGCAGTCTAATGTCCTGTGACATTTTATTTTTTTTAAGAGTATAGCCTAGTTTGAAATTCCTTCAAATATCCTTATACTAGTTTATGAACATGAAATTTTTAAGTTCTCTTATCTTATTGTTTGCTTTAATACCGTAGTTTGAACTTGGAATTAATACATTTACTTTTATTTCTTGAAAGAGCAAATATCATTGTCATTGATCAAACCGAATTCTTCATTAGTACTATAACCGTTTTTAAATCCAATATTCTATCATACAACAGGCTATGTCTGCTAATAAGAAAAAACACGCTATATGTCACGGGTATTTGGTTTGCAAGAGACTATACTTCTTTGCATTCATATAGTGTATGCTTGTGTAGATATTAGGAAAAGTGTATTTAATTTGGCTCAGAATTCCATCTAGTTAGCCTAAAAGCTTTAGCTCTTTCAATTAAATAAACGCTAAAGTTGTTGCTTTACTGAATTAAAATGGGAATATAAACATATATTAACTTCTCACTGATCTTAATTTTCCCTTGTTTTAATATCGTGTTACCGTCACTTTCATTCGTTTTTTAAGAAAATGAACATATCTTTAACTTTATGTTTAATATTAACGAGGAAATCAATAGAATGACAACATTTCAAGTATTCTGATAACAGTCGACTTGTTTTACATATAATTGAGAGATTATTTGATAAATTTAAATTTGTATAACAACCTTAAAAGAAAACCACTTTTTTTTTTCTTTTTAAGTATTTGATACAAAAAAAAATGAGTCTAAATTATGTTCATAAAAAATGAAGTAATACGCGAGGCAAATGAATGTAACTCATAACATTCATCAATACCATTTCTCGAGTTTTATTGAACCAACTAACTGCATACACAAACTTTTGATAGAATTAGTTTATATTTATATTAATGTTATAAACAACCTACAAACCCTCTTAAAAAAATCCTACAAACGAGTATGTTAAGCATATCAATAAAGAAATTACTAAATAAAATACTTCTATTCAAAATCATAACCAGATATATTAAATATTATATTTTTCACAAAAGAAAAATCTACTTTTAATTTTTTAACGTGTCTTAGGGCAGTGCTTAATATTCTCCTTTATCTTATTAATTTCATGAAGGAAAACAAATCGTGATAGTTTAAAGCGCAACGAATCTCAATCCCAGATATACTTTTCAACATTATTGTATTAATATAAAATAATCAAAAATTAGTTCAAAGATTCGTCAGATAAGAAATTTCATTTCCTCAAAGTTGAAACAGACACTCGCGATGCAGGTAGAAAAGAACACGTATGCCAGAAATGGGTTTTCTAAATTTTTACATCCTTTTCACTTATGACTCAACTACGAAGTTGTGGGGATTAATTATAGAGAAAACCTGATCATCTACACGAGGGAGATCCCTACTAATTTTAAGGTAATGAATACCAAACCAAAAAGACTCCACTGTATCTCCCACCAAAAGATGCTTAGTTACCAAAATTTTAATCATGTCTAAATTAAAAGAAAACTATAATGCTTTAGCAACAAGGACATCGGAAGAACATGCATATGAAGGTGACAGCCACGAGTCTCTAGGGTGCATAATAACAAACAGAAAACTACACTGCTATTGTTAAGATGCGCTATAGTGTTTGTTGTCTATACGCACCATCAGGGAGAAAATAGCAGAGACAAGAAAGTAAGACAGAATGATAAAACATTTGAAGAAAATAAGTTTAAATTGAATGATTAAATACTCGAAGAATAAACAAAATAAAGCAGAGAATTCTGTTGTCCAAGCTCATTATATTAAAGAGACAGTAACTACATATTGTGATAAATATCTCATGTTAGCGGAGCATGTGAGCTAGTGTTCCTTATCGCTGGCATTTCACCATTTCCCAAGACAATGTAAGGAATGAACTATGGGGCAGAAAGAGGTATTGGCTTCACAGAACTTTGAATGCGCCGGAATGCTGTCCTTACTCTTTCCTTGAGACCTTCATTTTCACTCTCAACTTCCCCACTTTCTTTGTTGAGCTCTGCTATATTCCCATCAATGTTAATTATCAATTTCCCATTCTCACCTACCTTCACATCTCCAAAGAGTGAAACCAGGAGGGCATGCATAACCTTCTCTGCCTTCTTCTCATTCTCTTCCTCAATTTTAATGGCATCGGAATCAGCCATTACTTTTGGGATGTCACGGCTGATATTTAAAATCAGAGCTACAATAGAATCTGATACCATGTCACTAATGGGGTCTGATGTCCAATGCAAGGAGATATGCTTTTCAGATTCATGCTTCACAGTCACACACTCGTGGATTTGCAATGTTGGAACTCCAGATTCTTCATCCACTGACTGCTCTACACTCTCATATATCTGTTTGAGTCTATGGCTTATGACATTAAAGGCACCTGAATAAGGGATGGTAATTCTCTGTGTGACATTTGTTGTTGTTAGCTGTGAAAAGACATGCAGGTCTTCAGGTGCCATTATCTGATATGTGAAGCCTTTTTTAACTAGCAAACCACTGACGGTTTCTCCAACTTCAGGTGTTTTTTCAGCCAGCTTCCCTATGGTTTTTGCCATTTTCTGTGAATTAAAATACATCTCAACAGATTGACAGTTTTTCGGAGTAAGAATCTTAGTGTTGCGATCAGCAAATTGAGTCATGAGCTTCTGTTTGAGCCTGCCCATCTCATTAGCTTCCCCATGAACGAGAATTATATTAGGAGGGTTGAGCTCTTCTAAGAATGCACTTGTTTGAGCAGAGTCAGCATGAGCAGAAAAGGAAATGTAATGCACCTGCATGTTCAGTGGTGCAGTGAGTCCATTCATGAGAGTCACCTCCTTGGGTTCATTGATGATCGTTTTTGCCAATGTCCCTTCAACAACATACCCAGGTAAAACACAAGCATTTTTCTTATCAGAGCACCACATATCAAATAATTGTCGTGACAGCCCACTCTGAAGTCCACCAGGACTGGCCATGACCACAGATGGTCCAACATCTTTGAAAACTTCAATGCTACTTAAAGCTGATACGTGTTTGAAGGAAAAGGGGTTGGACTTTGCATTCTGGATCCTGTCATTCATGGAAAGGGTGTATGTCTCATACACAGTCAAACACTTCTTTGCAAGAGGAGAAGCATAATAGATGGGAATATTCTGGAGTTCAGGATGATTTGCCCAATATTCATCAAGGATCAGGAGAAGCTCCTGCGCACGACCAAGGGCAAATGCTGGAATCAACACACGGCCCCCTTGAGAAATGGTTGAGTGGATAACATCAGTGAAGCGTTTTTCCCGTGTGTGCCGAGGCTGATGGTGCCACAATGATGAGATATTGTCCGCTTTGGGCCTAAGCCCTAACAGTTTTACTTTTGGTCATTACCTAAAAGGCCTCTCAATCATTGAAGTATATATGTGTTATATAAATTGTTATATCTTGTCTTATTTTATCATGTGAGACTTGTTTGTATCTCAATAGTTTTGATAAACTTACTTCATTCAACAACTCATGTTTTACATAATATTTTAATGATTCAACCATTAAATTAAAATATTTTAATAGATAGATCAAATCTATAATTTTTTTTAAAATTTAAAAATTATATGATACTTTATTATATAAATTCAAATCAATATATGAAATATGTTTTACTTTTACACTATCTGGAGAATGTATATCTTAATCCAAGTGTAACAGCCCAGCAACCCGCATGTGGATATTGTCCGCTTTGGCTGCAGCCCTCACGGTTTTACTTCTGGCAATGGCACGCATGCCACCCCAAAACGCGTCCACCCAAGGAAGGTATCCACACCCATATATATGGCATGCTTCGTTCTCCTTCCTAACCGATGTGGGACTTCACAA